TGTTGGGGGCAATATGCTGACTCTGTAAACCGCTTAGAGAGGGCTGAAAGCCCTATGAAGCGGTATATAAGTCTAACTGCTATTGCTATTAAAAATAGGGACCACCTTTGGTGGGAAGGTAACAGCATTCTGTGCACCTTTTGCATTGAGTCATGCCGGCCACATGACCACAGAGACGTCTTTTGACACCACTGGCTCTTCAGCTTTGAAATGGAGATGAGCAACGCCCCCTAGAGTCGGGAATGACTAGCACATATGTCCGAGGGCAACCTTTACCTTTAGTCCAATGAAAAGAAGGACTAGGGGTGATATGATAGGAATATTCTAATTTCTAAGGGGTTGCCACAGAGAAAGTCAACTTATTCTCCAAAACACCTGAAGCAATGGATGGAAACTAAGCCAGGAAACAGACAACCTAGAATTAAGGATAAATTTCCTGACAGTGAGAACAATAAAGCAGTGGAACAACTTGCCTCCAGAAGTTGCAATTCCTCCAACACTGGAGGTTTTTTATAAAAAACACCAGGCAGCCATTTGCATGAAATAGTATAGGCTTTCCTGCTTGAGCAGGGGGTTGGACTAGAAGACCTCCAAGGCCCCTTCCATCACTCTTATTCTGTTCTATTACTCTTATTTTTTTTCACCCCTAATAAAAATGCTGTGGAACGATTCCTTCGTTTCTTTGAAAATACGTTTTCTTATAACATCCCAATAGATTTATTTGAGATTTCTGGACTATCAGATGGAGCACTCCAACGAATGCAAGAGAAACTTCGTGGCCGTCTACGACGGAAGCAGTTCCATTGAGAACCTGAAAGCCAAGTTTTGCAGCACCGTGGCCAACGACGTGATGCTTCAAACAGGAATCGGGGTGATTCGCATGTGGGCGGATGAAGGGAGTCGGCTAAGCCGTTTTCAGATGCTCTTCACTTCATTTATGGATCGTGAGTATGTTTTATTTATTTAGTTAGTTTGTCAAACACGCAAAAGTGAGCAGGTATAAGTGTAAACATGGACATGAAGTAAGTAAGTAAAATCTTTATTACGGTCAAAGACCAGCAATACACATTAGTTTTTACACTATATTAAAAAAATACTAAC